TACTCCAAAGGCATAAGTGTATGACCAACATGTGTATAAAGACCACCTGCCTTACAATGTATGTGACCACCCTTCACTCTTTCAGCAATATTTCATAGATTTACCAAAATAATAATAATAATAAAATAAAAATAATAATTAGCTTTAGCACAATTTTTAATTTCCTGAAGTCAAACTTATTTGAATTTGATTAAAGTAAATGTGTTCTTGTTGCCATAGTATCATCTCATCATTTTCAGACAAATATTATGTCATATGTATGGGTTTAATCTATAAAAAGAATAATCCAACCTCCATATAAAGACAACTTCAATATAAAGACAACCTCCATATAAAGACCGCCTTATAAGAACAATTTTGATAAAATCTTTTGTGTGGTCTCTATAAACACGATAGACTATATATGACTGAATGTACAAATTAAGTTGAATTTCCCCTGCCACATTGTTGGTGTAACATTTTTTTTTTGATAATTTCTTCTTTAATTTTGTTATCAGATGAACAATCTCGATAATAGCTTTTTTAAAAAATTGCTAAGCGCCAGTAACCTGACATATGGACTTAGATCGCACACTGGTGGGGGAGTGTATGTTTCTTTATTGTGTATTTCACTAAAAAGCATTTGACATTTCCCCAATTTTAGAAATAGTGTTGTATTGATCACAAAAAAGAAAGAACTCAGATTTATGTTAACGGATCATATGAAAGAACAAGAATTAAAATTACTCAAAAAATAGAATTCTAATAAAATAATGTACCTAAATCAAAGAGAATTATGATGAATTGATTGTGCTGTGAGAAGGTAATGAAATTATCTGGACATGTGGTTTCAATGCAAATGTAAAACTAATTAAATTTCCTTGAATTCTCAGTCAAGTTTCTATCTAGAGTTCTATGATGTTTACTCAAAAGACCAAACTGAATATGCTATAATACTAATACTTTAAAATAGAAGGATTATATTACAGAGTTTTACTGTGAATGTTGAATACTGCTTTTCATACATATATATGGTAAATAGTCCAAGGGAGAAATAACACTTTGCTGGGATTCAATTTTGCGGGCAATCAGAAATTTGGTGACCTTAGATGTAATTCAAGGTTTTCTAAATATATGAATGAAAATGTTTTCACTGGATTTTATCTTTTATGATTTATTCCTCCATTTTAGTAAAAATAATCACCAAATTGAAGACAAAAAAACAAACAGACAAAACAAGTCAGATGATAATTAATTTGTCAAATAAGAAAGCGGTTTGGTAGGTTAAGGCATCACAGTTGTCACACCATATCATGTTTCATATTGACCGCATGTGACATACATGACGGGTATAAAATGTGTATAAACAAAATTTAAACATGTTCTGCGCAACAATTTGGTCACTATTTGAAATCCCAGGGATACCTGCTTCAACCTTTATGTGTACAGAAAATTACAGGTGTTTATTATTATGAGAACCTACTGAGGTGACATCAATCAATCTACTACTTTCAATCAATCAATTATTCATATTGATTCTACCCTTTTAACTCCCTAACAAGTGAATTGATTAATCCTGAGAAAAAAAAGAGGGAAAAAGTAACTGTCAAGGGACCGCCTTGGAATATTAATGTCATGTGCACAGGAGGGTCATTTGAAGAGTAGTTCAATGGTATTTATGTTAATAATGTGTTTATACGTGTTGAACCATGTCCCTGATTTAGTGATTGCCTCACTCGCCAGGTGTTACAGTTTTCAGGGAAAATCTCGTAAAACATTTAACTATTTTAAAATATTAATAACATATTTCATATAAATGTAATTTGTACTGTACTCACAATAAATTTTTCACCATTTTTTTCCATCTGTCTATAGTCAGGAACAGAAATAGGTAAAGCTCTTTTTTCACTGTAGTCTATATACGAGTAACCGGAGGAGTCATCACTGGGTTCCAATCTTTCAGATTCATATTGAGGTACTGATATAACTGTTAATTTTAATTCATTGCCGCCACACTTGATAAGATCCACCACATGTTTATGTGTTGCTCCTTCAACGCTTGTCGTATTTCTGTATAAAATACACAAAAATGCACTCAAATGAGTATACTTATTCATGAACAACTTCAAATCTGAAATGAAAGTGAAACATGAATGTAGCTGACATGCAACCATGTGTTCAGGACAATGATGAAAGTTACATATATCATCACCATGTGTTTAGTAGGTAAAACACATACTGCTCACAATGTCAATAACATGTGTTCACAATGCCAATCACTTGTGTTCACAATGTCAATCACGTGTGTTCACAATGTCAATCACGTGTGTTCACAATGTCAATCACGTGTGTTCACAATGTCAATCACATGTGTTTACAATGTCAATCACGTGTGTTCACAATGTCAATCACGTGTGTTCACAATGTCAATTACGTGTGTTCACAATGTCAATTACGTGTGTTCACAATGTCAATTATGTGTGTTCACAATGTCAATCACGTGTGTTCACAATGTCAATCACGTGTGTTCACAATGTCAATTATGTGTGTTCACAATGTCAATCATGTGTGTTCACAATGTCAATCATGTGTGTTCACAATGTCAATCACGTGTGTTCACAATGTCAATCACGTGTGTTCACAATGTCAATCACGTGTGTTCACAATGTCAATCACATGTGTTTACAATGTCAATCACATGTGTTCACAATGTCAATCACATGTGTTCAAAATGTCAATCACATGTGTTCACAATGTCAATCACGTGTGTTCACAATGTCAATCACGTGTGTTCACAATGTCAATCACGTGTGTTCACAATGTCAATCACGTGTGTTCACAATGTCAATTATGTGTGTTCACAATGTCAATTATGTGTGTTCACAATGTCAATTATGTGTGTTCACAATGTCAATTATGTGTGTTCACAATGTCAATCACGTGTGTTCACAATGTCAATCACGTGTGTTCACAATGTCAATTATGTGTGTTCACAATGTCAATCATGTGTGTTCACAATGTCAATCACGTGTGTTCACAATGTCAATTATGTGTGTTCACAATGTCAATTATGTGTGTTCACAATGTCAATTATGTGTGTTCACAATGTCAATTATGTGTGTTCACAATGTCAATTACGTGTGTTCACAATGTTAAATATGTGTGTTCACAATGTCAATCATGTGTATTCACAATATTGGATTAGTATGTTCACAATGTCAATAATACATGTTCAGAAGTGCATGTTAATAAGTCAGAATGTCTATTTTTTTAAATTAATGAAATTAAGACAACTAACTGAACAATGATGAATAAAAATGGTAGATTTGATGACTTACTCAAACCTACAAATAAGGAAATCTAATTGGTATTCTCACTCTAAACTTCCCTTTCAAATATAATGCTAGTCAACCTTTTCATTTCCTACATTCTGGGAACAAGGACAAAAGTCGTATCTGGGTTAAATCGAGAGTAACAACATTTTCTTAAAATAAACTCGACGTCATGGAAATAAGACGTAAATAGATCCTGGGTTATTATACCCAATTAGGCAAGACACGCATGACTCGCGATTTATGGTGCTATTGTGTTAACAGTGTAAAATTGTCAGTAATGAACAGCTTTCAAGAAGATTGATGAAACCATTGTAATTAAGCAATTAAATAAATTTAAGGAAGACCTTTTTTCAAACTACATGTACAGGCTGCCGTGTTTTGTCTCACATTATAGAATTCTAAACCCATCCGGAACACCGAGTTGGGGTTAAAAGGGGCCAGATTAAAATTCTAATTTTAGTAACAAGAGAAAAAGCTGTGACAATCAAGTATTTTTTGTTGTACATAATTATTAGAATATAACTATGTGTTGTTAAGAAATCTCAAGAAACTATCTGAAATTATGAAAAAATTGCTGCTGTTATTTATTAATAAAAAAAAAATCTTCAAATTCATAATGTTTTCACATTTAATTATTTAAAATATTGATTAATTTTTAATAAATTGTTGCTGCAAGAGATAATATTGCGACTATTATAACATGTACCAAAGGTGAAATGTTCAGGACTACAAAAAGTCTCCCAGACCAAATTAAAGGGTTAAATTGGTTTGCAAAATAAGATGAAACTCACAGTCTACTGAACTATTGTTTTTATTATCTGTTCATTAATTTGATGATTGCTATTAATGATGAGCATGTGAAAACTGAGACTCAATGATATGTTGTAATGCAGCAAGGAAAAGGTCAATTAGGAGAAAGGAAGAAGAAATAATTATTCAATCTCTCAAGACAATCAATTCATTAAATTCAATCCTGTCACTACAGCATCAGTCTGCGTAAATATTATTAATGACACACATAAACTTTCTGAACACATGATTATAATTTCTAAAAAAAAGAAAAAAAATAACCAAAGAGATTCGTTTGACTAAAAAGTTTGAATAAATCGTAATTCAAGGTATTAAACTCGGTACTAGTGGATCCAAATGTGGTGTTATGAGTTTTAGATCATGTGATATTGTCATGGAGTGAGCCATGTAAGGCATACTGTAAACCACTTATTTAGCCAGACAAATTTTAGTGATATCCCCTGAGTCAATAAAAATCACAATATTTCGGTAGCAATAACAAATTCTTTTTTGGAGATGGGGGGGGGGGGGGTCTGCGATTTTCACGAATTTTTGACGAATGAATGGCATCAAAATGTAAATATTCCTAGCAGTAAACATTAAGAAGTTTACAGTACCGTGTATATATATGATATATACCGGTAGTTATACGTCTGATGTCGAAAACAATAGAGTTTACAGTACCGTGTATATATATGATATATACCGGTAGTTATACGTCTGATGTCGAAAACAATAGAGTTTACAGTACCGTGTATATATATGATATATACCGGTAGTTATACGTCTGATATCGAAAACAATAGAGTTTACAGTACCGTGTATATATATGATATATACCGGTAGTTATACGTCTGATGTCGAAAACAATAAAGTTTACAGTACCGTGTATATATATGATATATACCGGTAGTTATACGTCTGATGTCGAAAACAATAAAGTTTACAGTACCGTGTATATATATGATATATACCGGTAGTTATACGTCTGATGTCGAAAACAATAAAGTTTACAGTACCATGTATATATATGATATATACCGGTAGTTATACGTCTGATGTCGAAAACAATAAAGTTTACTTGTCAATAATACACGGAATGGACATGTTCGAAAGTGCTACGAATGCGTTCAAATGACTTCCTTATTTGGTAAGCGTGCATCACATTTGCATCACATTTGAACACTTTCCTTCGTTCAAATGCTGAAGTGCTATTAGCGTGTTACGGAAATGGAAAACCTGCACAGAAAGCAAACATTTACACAGTGCAACACGTTTCAGGCTGTTATCTTTCATTATCTACAAGCAGGGGAAAGATGTATAATAGAAGCTTAAAGTTTTAAGTCAGATGGCAAGGTTGTTAATTCTTCTTTTTATATAATAGTGATTCACAAGTATTTCCTGTTTCCTTATCTTGTGGACTTTATGTGAATCAAATTATATTAATTGTGGCTTACAATCACTGCTGTTATATATTTTCATAATTTAGAGCTCCTAGCAGTTACCTAAACCCAGCAGTTACGAAAAACAACTGGTCCATACTTGTTCATGACTTATTTTGGCAATACGAGTACGCAACAAGGGACTGACATTTTCAAGAAGTCACCATGCAAACAGTCATAAAATAAATGAATTATAGGTAATATCTTGAAAGGCAATTTTCTCCACAAAGAAGTCTCAGCTGGGAATTACGATCAATATAAAAATTACCTTTTCTCAAAACACAAAAGCAGGACGGCTGTTTCATATCAAGTCATAATGTATTTTTTTGAAATCTACATAGCCTGAGTAGTTTTATTGATAAGATTTTAATTTTAACTGTATGTTGTCATAGTATCTGTTGATTGGAAAAATGCATGTTGAGTCAACATATCCTGAATCATAGTGCCCTCTAGTGACCATAATGAGAAAATATTAAAGATCATCCGATTAATAATTGGAAATACTGTTGATTGAAGTATAATTGGTGTTCATGCACGTCAAGCGGATTTGATCAATTTGTTATAATCATTATAACATACACATGCATGCAACAACTAGTACCTCGTAATTTTCATGCCATTTCAGAAAAGTATTGGCACTTTAGTAAATTAAAAATGACGTACTGGTACATTGTATCCTAGTGTTTAAAATATAGGATTAACACATTGCACTTAATTTTGGTGTTGTCATGGCAATAAACAGTAGAGAGTGTCAAATGGAAATCAAAATCAATTAAGTACAGAGAGGATAATCTGTTATTTTACTGTAAGTGGATAACATTGTGAGTTGAAGTTACATTGTACATGTACCACTCATTTTAGGTTCTGTTAATGAACGACATTTTGGAATAAAAAAACAAACCACAGATCAGTTTATTTGTAAATAGAAATAAGATTTTTTGTACTGTAAACTGTTTAATTTTTGATGCTACATGTATTGGTATTAATTATCTTAATTTTAAAATAAGGCGGCATCAGGTACTGTGACCAATTGTCTCAAAACAAAATTCCTGTTGCTACACAATTATGCATTTATGCATGACGCGCAAAATAAAAGCAGTTTTATACAGTATTTTTTGCACAAGATTAAATATAACAATATATAATAGATTATCTTTAAAATAAGGCGGCATCAGGTACTATGACCAATTGTCTCAAAACAAAATTCCTGTTGCTACACAATTATGCATTTATGCATGATGCGCAAAATAAAAGCAGTTTTATACAGTATTTTTTGCACACGATTAAATGTAACAATATATAATAGATTATCTTTGCTGATAAAAACAACTATAGAATGATAACATTGTAGAGTAATTGATCAACACATCAACATACTAAAGCTTTCATCCCTGTGGCTGTCATGTTGAAATTATCTGCAGAATGCATAAAAAAACCTAACGACTAAATACAAATAGCCCTTAAGTTGTTAGGGTAGTACATGTAGTTCAACAGCAATATATTT